ACAGGCATTAGAACAAGACCCGTGTGAAAACGGCCACTTTAACAGAATAATAGCTCCCTACTTCCAAATTATCCCAAATATCTTTGTCTCCACAGATTAAGGAAGAAATGTGTGTGCTGGGGACAGGTACAAAGAGGAGATACACCGGGAGAAGGGGCAGGGCAGGTGAAATGAGCCCTGCAAAGGGGAGAGCGATTCAAGAATAGGAAGGTGTCCTGGCCTGCAGAGAAATCCCCCGTTCCGAAAGTGTGTGATGTATGTGGAAGAGCACACATGGATCACGTCTCATGATCTAGAATCAAACTGCCTGTTACAGCGCTACACACAGTTCCACACACGTGCACGCACACGCACATCGGACCTGTGTTTCCGTCAGAGGGCATTTCGGATGGACAGATGTGTACTCACACTGCTGAGCTGAGGTCAGGGGACTGGAAGTGGTGATCGATTAGTGACTTCTGCCACGAGCTGGAGGGTAAGAAGGGGTGAGAAATGCTATGGGTTTGCCAACCGTGCTCTACTCTTTCTTGAGTACCACTAAGTGTTTTCATTACTTGTCATAAATTCCCTCTGAAAGCTTACACACTCCTTACTTTACAGGGTGGTTGTGAGGAATAAATAAAATAAGGCGCAAATAGAAAGCACTCAGCCTAGGCTTAGCCTACAAATGTCATTTTCTACCAAATTGTAAGCTCCATCCCTGTGAGGGGATGTCTTATATGTAGAGGGCATTCACACATGTGTTGAAGAATCTTCACTCCACGGTACTTAGAAACTACTCTTCTGAAGGACTTTTCAGAACTACTTTCACAGTGAAGTAAGTTTGTATGTCTTCCAGAATACTCTTGCTACAACAAACCAAATAAGAGGAATCCTAAGTATTTATTAAAAGACAAGGAGGACTTAGGTACAAATGCATTACGGTAACACTGTTTTATCTACAATAAGAAATGTTGACAACTGAATAAGTTTAAACACTTTAATCAACTATAATAAATCAATTATATAAAAATTCTGATTCATGCATAAGATTACATAAATTATACAATTGTCACATGATACAATGCTTACATACTTTTGAGTTTGTATATGCAAAAATGTACACAAGTTACTAGAGCACTTACTTAAGAAGTGTAATACTCTTCAGTTATAAATAATGGTTATACCTTTCAAATACCTGCTAAATATATACACTTCTAGATCTGCAGCATTTTTTGTACCTCAAAATACAAACCATCTGGAAGCTTTGAAGATTAATAGGCCCAAATGTATCATTTGTTAGACTGCTATTCCATTGTAAGAGTGGATTTTTTTTGACAGAGAAAATAAACAGAATAAAATGTTAACTCTAGTTTAATGCTTGAAGAGCTTCTACACTTCTCATTAAATACCTCAGAAAATCCTTCATATGCAGATTAGTTAAGGTGCTATCTATTGCATATTAAATACTTCCAATGATTGCGTCTGGATTATTAAAGTTATACATCTGTGAAAATGGGGGCTCTCCCCGTCCCCGTGTGCTGACAGACCTTTCCATCTCCCATCCTGGACCACAGCACTGCGATCCACTCCTTTACTTCAAAGAGACCAAGTGAACGAGCATGCTTTATACTTTACTTACACACACAAATGACACCTACCATCTACAAGACATATGAGTACATGAACATCAAAAAAGTTTCAGCCTGATTTACAAATCCAAGGTAGGTTGTTTTTTCTGAAAAGCTACAGAGGAAAATAAAAGCTCTAGTGTAACAACTACTATAGATATATTAAAGACGACATTTTGTTTTCTTTCTTTCTTTTTTTTAAGATTCTCCTTGTTAAAGAGTAAGCACCCTTTTGGGGGTGGTAGGCAGGGGGTGTGGGGGTGGGGAAGTTGGTGAAGGAAGGACTTGAAGAAAGCAAGTCTGTCACTAATGAGCTTAGTTTTACTTAGGTTTCCATTCATGAAACCCTTTTAAATACAAGGCAACATTTTCACAGCTGGAAAATTACAACTAAATCTTGATTTACTGCCAAAAGCAATAGATGTAGTTATGTATAACCTATGGGTAATACTACGTTCATGGGACAATGGCAAAACTAGGGTCAATGCAGAATATAGCAGCCAAAGGCAATACTTAGACACTTTTCATGAATGGGTTACATGTTATTTTATATACAGTTCTAAGATACCACCCTGGTATTCAATAAATGAAACTGGAAGCATAAGTGGTAGGAAGGTATGTTTAACATTTTAAAAGCTAACTTTTAGAACTGGGAGAACTGGTTGTAAAACAATACTGTTTTAAAAATAATAGCAGAAATAGTTTAATTGTGTAATAGAAGTAGGTTAGCTTACTTGAGATAAATATCAATTCTGTGATTTAAAAAAATTCTCTTGGTGGAAATGTTTTTAAGCATGCATTCTTTTAAGCACAAAAGCAAATGTAAAATCTGTTTATAATCTATTGGA